ACTACTACTACTAGCAGCATCTCAAAACATAAGACACGGTGATTTTTGATTTGTAACTTTTCTACTATATTTGAGCATAGCGATTTTCTCCCTTAACTTTCATCACCAAATATCAGCCCGCTTGTATCTTTCTCCAAGTTTTTGGTTTTGGAGCTCAATTCACTCGCAGAAATGCTACATGATGTAGTACCACTCATCGACTGTTGAGATTTCGCCACATTCTCAGTTAAACCACCAAAGAACTCATCATCGGTGGTGGTCACATCACTACCGTTCATTTTCTTATCTACGGTTTCTTGAAGTTGCAACGTGAACTCCAGGGCCCACACAATATCGCTCATGGTGGGCCGTTCCATTCCTTTATCACGTACACATTTTTCTGCAACCTCACCGAACTTTTGCAAGGCCATCGGTTCAACCTGGTCCGTCAGATATGGGTCGATAATTTGATCAAGGGTTCCTTTTAGGTAACAGAGGCGGGCCCAATGGGCCAGGCTAACTTTCTCCTTTGATAGGCCCTGGATCACCGGCGGCCTACCACACAACACCTCAAACAAGACCACACCGAAGGAGTACACATCAGATTTCTCGGTCAAATGCTGCCGGAGATAATATTCTGGGTCTAAATACCCGACACTACCCTTCACCTGAGTGCTGACATGGGTTTGCGATGCGCTAGTGGGATCTAGTTTCGACAAACCAAAATCTGACACCTTGGCAACGTAATTCTCATCCAACAGTATATTTGATGATTTCACGTCGCGGTGGATGATACGGTCCTTCGTCTCTCTATGGAGATAGTGCAACCCACGTGCCGCCCCTATGCAAATCTCTAGCCGCTGTTTCCATGATAATGGGGGATTCTCAGTTCGGTAGAGATGATCTTGGAGTGTGCCACGTGACATGTACTCGTACACCAATATCATCTCACCGTGATCATCACAATATCCGATTAGAGAAACAAGATGCATGTGTCGAAGCTTCGAAAGCATGGCGATTTCGGTGTGGAACTCGTGGGCCCCTTGCATTGATGAAGATTTTAACCGTTTGATTGCAACAGTGGTGGACTCACCATCTATAATCCCTTTGTAGACGTCGCCAAATCCACCGATTCCAATTAGAAACTGATCGTTGAAATCTTGAGTGGCGGCTTTGATTTGGGTGATTGAGAAGTGACGGCATAGATCAGAAGGAAGCGATGGGGTGGTTTTTGTGGTAAACAACTTTGATGTGTCCTTTAGTTTTCTTCGTCTCTGGAAAACAAAAAGGCTCAGGAGGAGAGAAAACAAAGCTAAACCACCAAAAATAGCTCCGATTATTGGCAAAATTGTTGATGTTACTTTACTCTTTGGGCTTTTGAATAACCTCTTGTGAGACTCCGGAGGCGTAGGTCTAAAAAGCCAGTCAGGATTGGGTCCAGCTAGGTTACCATCAGATTGATTCAGTTTGAAAATCTCCAAACCATTTAAAAAGGCATCAACCATTGCTGAGTTCTCAGGGTGCAGTGCTAGCCAGAGGTCCCTCCCTTGGATCTCGTTGTCAGCCCTAGTAATATAGTCTCTGTACATTGGAAATCCGTTGCCGCCACTCTCAAAAAACACGTCGAAGTTTGTTTCCGCTGTTTGATTGTTGATGAATATTTGGAAAACATGTTGATTCGGGCCTGTGATATTACTCAGAAGCTCACAAAAATGAAGCCTGACGAGATAGTGAAACCCCCCATCAACAGAGAACTTCCAGGTCATGTTGGATTTCAAATTCAACGAACCATTATCGCTCATCATACGAGAAGTAGTGTAAACTTCCTTGGGTGCAGTGTACTCCGGTATGTTATAATGAAGCGGTCTGGATTTGTCCAAAAGTGGAGTAGTCCAGTTTGACTCGAGAAGATAATCTCCATCTTGACTCCATGTTCGGTACATTCCTGTATCCTTTACATTCTCAATGCGGTTTCCGCCAACATTTAGTCGATGAAGAGTCTCAAGTGCGGTCGTATTATCCAAAGCGAAGGATTGGTGAAGGCCTGCTATCAGGGATGGGATTCCCGTACCGCTTAAGTAGAGGCTGCTTGGCATGGGAACGACTTCGATGCCGTTAATGAAAGCAGAAGAGTTCGGAGAAGGGATGAAAGTTACATTAAGCATCTCATTGTCCCACACAGTAACAATGAATTCTTTGATCAAGTAGGCCTCCTTGGTCAGACTCAGATGCCTATAGGCACTGAAATTTTTCAAGAGGGTGTACTTATTGGCAGTGACGTTGAAGAAGGAAGCGGTCATATCAAACTCATCGTATTTTGCTGGGTAGAAATAGAGACGAAGGAACTTTGGGCCAGGAGAGACAGGAAAGCTATAGGTGAATTTGGATTTAATGATGAGAGCAGAGAGCCATGGAACTGTGGAAACTGAAGGGTTTGGATTGGAGGCTTTGGAAGGAATTGATGAGTTTTGATCGTTGAAGGAGGAATATCTTGGGCTGAGATCGGCATCCCAGTTGCGGCCGTCCGATGAGCTAGAGTTGGAACGTGCTCCACAGTCGAGAAGTATGATGCCAGTGGCATTGTAGGCGAAGGTGGCTGTAGTCGGGAGGAGGAGATGGAGGAGTGAGATGAAGAAGATGGTGAGAGTCAGCATTTTGGGATTCAGTATTACTAATTGCAGCATACCTATAAAATTGATCAGAGGAAGAAGAAAGACTTGTCTACGGTAGAAGACAATGGTGAAACTGATAGAAACTAAAGTAGGATGCTTCGAAGGGATTTTATAATGAGTACAAAGACTTAGAAAGTCTTTGCCAAACTCGGTGATTACAGGATGGAAAAATAGGCAATTTTAATTAGCCCCTAATTAAAAATAATTGCCGTTGGCCAATACATTAAATATACTTTGGAGGCAAATAATTTTAATAAATTAATTTGATTGACTGCATTAATCATTTTTCTCTTCCCCTCTCTTCTTCTTTCTTCAAAACAAGCAAGCACTAATAGTTTCGCTTCCTTTTTAATTGTTGGGAAAAAAAATTATTAGCTTTTACTACTTCATTCTATAATAAGAATTTTTAAAAAAAAAATTCTCAAGAATTAAGAATTCGAGTAAAATTACATTTTTTTTTACTTATAATACTCTTTAAAAAATAAAAGTAAAGAAAAGATTGTGATTATAATATTGATAATAAAAGTTGGGTTTTTTTTTTTAAATATGTTATAAGGATGTAATTATTGTATATTTTTATATTAATTGATATCAAAAAATAAAAGTTGATATTTTTTTATCAATTATTCAACTAAAATAATTCATATGGTATTAGTGGTAAAGTTAATGTTAAGTTTTATATTTTTCAATATCAATTAATATAAAAAATATACATTAATTACATTTTTATGTTAACATAAAAGTACATATTAAAAAAACTTATAAAAATTAAGTGATATATATAATTTGCTTAAAATGAAAGAGAAATATTTGTTTGCCTTTAGAAAAATTATTATTTTGAAATAAAGAGAGTAAAATATTAGAAAACCCACTATATCTCCTCTAACTTGTCTTAATCCCTCTAAAAATTCTCTCTAAATTCTCCTTCAATCTCTATTTTTCGCTCACCGCTCATCAACTCATTGGAAGACGGAATTTTCACACTAGAGGTGTGTCTCTGTCTGTGACTCATTTTAAATTTGTTAGTAACACATATTGTTTTTAGTGCATACATTAAATAGTCTATTTAACACATGTTTATACTATATTTAAATAGAGTTATTAAATTCTTATTAAGGGTATAAATTCAAGTTCTAATATGAACTACCATATATTCTCGTGTGGACCCCAATATTCCTTGCAAATATATGTTGAAATCAAAGGTAAAACTTCATATTTGCCCTTAAATAAGAGAATAGGGATAGATCTGCTTCTAAAACAAAGTTAAAATTAATTATCTTTTTAAATTATCAATCAAGACAAATTATTTATAATTTAACATATTATATCATCATACCTCAAAAATCCATTTGTCATCTAAATATTTCTTAACAAAAATATGATGTGTAATATTGTTACACATTAAATAGTAAGTAATTGATTTTAATCAATTATTTGAATTGGTTATTTGTTCTTACATTTTTTTTAGGGACAAATATGATCCTACATTTCTATTTGAAGTGCAGTTTAGAGTTTTGTCAAAAACAAATTAAGAGACCAAACCCTACTATAACTCCAAATTCAAGCTCCATTAAATTTTTTGATATTTGTTTCTAATAATTCAAGTATCTTCCCAGCAGGGATAGAGCAGGAGTTAATTAAGGAATAATAGCGATACTGTTCTTAAAAGTGAAAATAAAAATAACATCCAGCCAACTAACAAAACAAACATAAAAATACATATATGGCTTAAATTAATACATAGCTTAATTATCGACACAACCCATCTAATTTCATGGCACGAACGGTACAGCCGTACAGGTACCCGTTTAAAATACACGAAGGGAGAACATCAGAAGAACAAAACAAAATACAGAGACTGAGAACCGGAGATGAATTGAGGGGAAAACGCGTGCAACATCATTCTTAAAGGTAGCTTCACCTTATTAATAATTGATTCGTGTGGCTTGAAATCCACTTCAATGCCCCAGTTTGATTTCATCTTCTACGGCAGAGATGATCACCACAACAGCGAAGCCTGGGAGGTTCCCCGGCGGCAGCGTTCTTCAGGTTTGCATCGGATTGGTTGGCCGTTGCCTACGTGCTTTGAATAGCATCCTTTAACTGGTGGTTTCTTTAATGCAGCATAATCAGAACATATATCCCCTTTTGCGCCCAGAAGCCTTGCGTTGATATCAGATTCCATCAAGAACTCTTCGTGCCCTATAAAATCGGCAATGCTGGTGGTGCTGATGCTGCCTCCAGGGATAGAAGCCGCCTCAAGAACTTCTCCGATGAGTAGAATCAGAAGCACCGCCAAAAGGAATCCAAGGCTCCGTTTCTTCATCTCGGTTCTTATCTTCTTCTCTACTGATGATGGTAGCTGATCAGTTTTGGGGGAGTGGTGACTAGTGAGTGTGTGAGATACTATGATGCTTGATTCGCTTAAATGCTAATGGGAAAAGGAAAAAGCCAAGCGAAAACAGAGGAAAGGCTATTTTTTCATTCTGAGGGGTCTTCTTTTTTCTTTTTTTCTTTTTTTTTTTTAATAAAAGAAATGCTATTAGTAGAAAAGTTTTAACAATGATATAATTATAATATTATTTAAATTATAAATTTATAATTATAATGTATTAATATTAAATGAGTAGATGTATATATCATATGTGGATTTCAAATAAAAAAAATCATTTATACTAAATACATTATTGTTTAACTAATTTGTAATTATTATGTAATACATTTTTTATCTTAAAGTAATTTTAAAATAATTGTTATTTTTCTAATTTTTTAAATTAAAGATTTAATAACAATATTTGTATTTATTTATAATACTTTTAAAAAATAAAAAAAATTTGTGATTGAATAATTTTTTTTAAAAAAAAGGTGAATGAATAATAATAGAGTTAAATTAAAAAAATATGTGTTTTGTTTTTAAAAAATGACAATTAATTTAAAACAAATTTAAAATTAAAAAACTAAATTATTTTGAAATAAAAGAGTAACTAATATTTTTATCTTTTAACTGTAAATGTAATGTATTAATTTTTTATTAGTCTCTTTTAATTTAAAATTTAAAATTTTAATTCAAAATTTTACCTTTTTTTAAAAAAAAGAGTCACAATCTTTTAGTTTATAAATACTTGTTATTATGTGCCCTGATAAACCTATGGCAAAACATGCAGATTAGCCCCTCAACTCGTCGTATGGTGGCAGATCAGCCCCTCAAGTCAGTTCACGCGTAAAAGAACCCCTCAACTCATCTTCGGTGGCAAATCAGCCCCTCTGTATACATGACGTCATCAATCCGTTAAAAGTTAACGTCCCACTCATCATGCCCGACTCTGCGTCTGACCTGGATTTCTTTTGCTGAGATGGATGCTTTGTCTTTTATTACATTCTATCCGATCGTCGGAGAGGATGAGTTATATGCAGATTGGGAAGACGCGAAAAATGCTCCAGAGAAGGAACTCTAAGAGTGGGCTGGGGCGACTCGGGATAAGCCTGAACGGGGGAGTGGGGTGGTGCGGGCCTATAGGTTTGTGTTTCGTGTCTATGGTTGAGAGGGGTGGTTAGGCCATTTTTTATTGGAGGGAGGGGTGTGAGCCGTTGGATTGATGAGGACGCGGATCGATGACGTGGAGAGATGGAGGGTGGATATGAC